TTTAAATAAGTTATATATATTCTTGATTTATATTTTACATATGGAAAATTCAAATGTGTGTATATATATATTGTACGTATCGTAGGAACAATATTTGTTGCCGGTTAGAAACTGATAAATTTCTGTTTATGACTTTTTTATGTCAGATTATTGTAAGTGCCTTAAAAATCGTGGCGACCGTTACGAGGACCACTCTGTATATTGTACGTATCGTAGGAACGATATTGAGACACAAAGGGGAATGCAAAAGGGGATTATGCAATCTCTCTCTCTCTCTCTCTCTCTCTTTCTTTCTTTCTCCACTAATTCAAAAATTAAATCCAGAAATGAAGATATTTACTACAAAATTATTTAGTATCTTCAATTGCATCTATTTTACGATATAGGTGCTTTCCTTTTTCTGCATTTTTAGTAATTTTATCTTTTAAAGTGACTAATTCTGTAGTAAATATCTTCATTTCTGGATTTAATTTTTAAATTTCAGTGGAGAGAGAGAGAGAGAGATTGTATAAGCTTTTGCATATTCCCCTTTGTGTCTCAATATTGTTCCTATGATACGCACAATATATATACACACATATTTGAATTTTCCATATGTAAAATATAAATCAAGAATATATACAACTTATTAAAAAGAAGATTAAATATAGTAAATAAAAAGAAGATATTTGCAATAACTTTCCTAAATAGTGCTTTAACATTTTGTGGTTGACATCTCGAAACATGTTTCACATTTTCTAAAGCTACATCGTAGGCTTCTGTTTTAATCAACGCAGCTGCCAAATTATTATAAACTTTTGTACGATCCTTTAATAAAATCTGCAATTGAGCATCATTAACCGACTCTTTCTCCTCATTTTGATTAAAACTTGAATTATATTTGTTGATGACAGATATTCTAATACTCTTCGATAACATTATATTGGAAAAGGCAGCTCCATCCGAATAAACCATCAATTTCCATGTTCACATTTCTCATAGCTTTAAAAAAATAAGTTTAACCATTATCCAAGAAAATAAATAACCTTTATTATATAATTTTTAAACAAAATTTATACCATATTTCTCTTCTTTGACTAATGTTTTCTATTTCAGGCTCTAACTCTGATGCTTTCAATTCAATTGTATATAATATTTTTGATACAATTCCCGCAAGATTTGTTTTGTTACATTAACGTAAACATGCAACTCATTGCTTAGCCATTTGTAAATGATCTAAAAATATTAATTACACATTAATTACATTTATAAATAAGATATAAATAAACATTCACACATTTCCAGAACCAAAAGTTGCGAGTAATTCCAAATCTGCAAAATGTATGTGGACACTATAGAAGTGCTTCAATATGATTTTATCATTTCATTATTCCTTATGAAGGCAATTAATAAAAATGTTTATTCAATGTTGTTGTTTCTATGATGTTTTCAATAGAATTTTTAACAGATTTACATAAACTCATTGCGTAGCCATTTGTCAGTTAACCTCAAAATATTAATTATGCATTAATTACATTTATATATGAAATATAAATAAATATTATATAGATGAATGCGCGTTCACGCATATAATTACCAATTGATCGAAAACATGGCCAGCCAAAATCTCCAAATATTCCTTCAATGCCTCATCATTTTCCAACAATCTATTTATCACAAATATGTTAATTGATAATGCAAGCAGATTGTGTAAAGCATTTGTTCAATTTCACTGATATAATCTAACTTTGCTCAATACGATTAAAAGAAATCACTTCTCTTCCTTGCACTATTCCGCGTTAATAATTTCTTTTCACTTTATCACTTTTCTTTCTTGTGTTGCGCTATTCCGCGATATTCTCATAACTGTTAATCACTTTTTACTTTTCTTCTTGTCGTATTATACTCCGCGCATACTCTTATAAAATAGAAACATTATTATTATCTCACACGTATGTACACACATCTACTTCTTCTTCTTCTTTGTTTGTATGGCTCCGCGTTAGGTAGCTACTCGCCACACGGCCAAAATTCTTGTACACACATCCACATATGATCTTGTCTTTTAAAATGTTCTGCACACAGGGTTGCCAGATTTGGCGACTTTACGCCAAATTGGCGACTTTTGATAACCATTTGGTGTCGAAAAATCGCAATTGGCAACATGGCGAACTTTTGGCGACTTTACAACTTGCTTTGGCGATTTTTTGGCGATTTTTGAATATCGATTAGGGAATTGGAAATTTTTCATTATTTTTCTTTCTTTGTCACGACGGTATTCCGGCAAGTGGCGATTTCTCACCATTTAGTGCTACGGTGGTGCTACCCTTCAATGGTGTTTCTACCAGAAGGTGTGGATTACGTCGATTATTCAACTTCTACATTTTTCCGTTCTCTCGTTTTTATAGTTCATGCTCACTAATCATTGGTGGCAGGGAGACTAGAGTAGTCGCCCTGATTGGTGGATAGACCATGGATACATACTTTATAAAACTGCTGTTAGGGGAAACTAGAGTCCTATATAATCAGAGAAGTGACAATGGTGTTCCGCTTGCTGATCGGCTGACCGCCACGGTGCCGTTCTACTTAACGACCGCAACGCTCACGGTATCATTTCATTTTTGTTGTTCACCGTAAGTTAAACAAAGACAGATAATGCTCGCGAGCGTTGTGGTCGTTAAGTGGAACGCGCCCTATGTTGGCGGTTAGTTTGCACGTAGTGAATCCTACGTGCAAACTAATTGCAACCGGCGTACCGTAAGTGAGAAAAAAGTATATTTGTAATGTTATTTTCTAAAAAAAACATTTTAAATATCTCTGAGACATTTTTAAGACATTTTAGATTACACATGGACAGCTGCGGGCCCAACATGGCGATCATGGGAAGCATGGAGGGGGTAACGATGTCGCTTTTCTGATTATATAGGACTCTAGGGGAAATGAAACCTGGGGGTCTATTCTTGAAACGAGGACCTTAGGCCGGTATTCATAGTCCGTTCTTATATCCAAGATCGTCTTAGGCCGGTATTCATAGTCAGTTCTTATATGATATATAAGACCGTCTTAAGCACAATCTTAAGATGTCCTAAACCAATCACAGAGCCGTATTAGCATCTTAAGACATTACTTAAGACGGTCTTGAAATAAGAACTGACTATGAATACCGGCCATAAGTATGGTCTTGGGTAGTCTTAAGATCCCATTCAACCAATGAAATAGCCGCATAGCATCTTAAGATCATACTTGAGATGATCTTAAATATAAGAACGGACTATGAATACCGGCCCTAGTGTCGCATGCGATATCTCATATAACTCGGATGGGTTAAGCCCGTATCAGACTATGCATTGAGATTGAAATTTGACCAATCAGGACAAGGAAATTTTAGTTCCTTTTATCCTGATTGGTCAAATTTCAATCTTCAACACGTCTGATACCTTATGGCATGCGATATTAGAGTCCTCGTTTCAAGAATACGGCCCCTGGTTATTTTATTGTGTCAACTTACCAAACTAGTTAGTAGTTCACTGTTCGCCGTTTCTTGTGCCATTGTATTAAAAACATTTACAGGGATTTATTTACTTCTATACTTATAGCGTATTCGATTTGTTGACTCTATCCGACTCTGGGTCGAATCGAGTCAGATCTCAAGTTCGGTTTGAAACTCATAGCGTATTAGATTTGTTGACTCCACCCCTCGAGTCCGACTCGACCCAGAGTCGGGTAGAGTCAACAAATCGAATACGCTATTATTTTTTTTAAACTTTGTAACATTTAACATTGTACTGTACGAGATACTATATGAGTAATAGGAATCAACGCGGCAGAAATTTTTAACGCATAAAACGTCATTGTTAGAACTGTTGCCTTGAAAGTAGGGTAAATATTTAGATTAACGTATCCACCTCCAATGACTTCGACCTTGACATATGTTGTCAAGGTCACTGCCCTGAGTAACATCCAAGAGATTTTAGCCGTTGCTCGTTGTTTATTATAGATATAATAGGTGTACAACTTTGCTTCCGCCGTTTTCCTATAGATGGCTTTAGCGGTAAGTAGTGGTCGAAATAAATAGATCATAGACGTCATGCAATAAACTTGTGCATAAAAAACAGTTGGTTTTGAATTTCCTAGTAGCGATCTTAATTCATTACATACACAAATACAAGAAAAAAACACATTTCTGAAAATGAATGGTTAGATACAAGCACGACATTGTTATTGGACAAATACACAAACTATTTGGAATTAGTAGGTCCAATGAAAAAATTCAAAAATAAAAAAGCAATGTGGCAACAAATAGCAGAAGATTTAGAAGCGATTCTTGGTATTAAAAAAACATACATTCAATGCGAAAATCGTTATAAAACTATATTAAAGAGAAAACGCGTTTGTGATAAAAATAATTCCATTTCTGGATCAAAAAGACTAAAAGTGAATTTTGAAAATGAAATAAAAAAGATTGCGGTAAATATAGCGAATAGGGGACCCAGCCCCAATGACCTTGACCTTGACATATGTTATCAAGGACATAATTCTGAGTAACTTTTTCTTCTAACTTAATCGTCGCACGTTGCTTATTAAAAAGTTATTATCCCTTATTCGCTATATTTACCAAGATTGCTGCCATAGATGATAGTGTACAGCCAGAAATATTGCAAAGTGCAAACAAAGTTGTGATTAATGTTAAAGATACTCCACAAACATCTAATATTAAAAAAATAAAAAAGATTCAAGTTTAATTCAGATTCTATTAAAAATTCATAACGAAAAGGAAGCTAAAAGACAAGAAAGGCATGAAGAAAAAATGAAGTTATTAAAAAGTTTTTTTGAAAAAGAAAATAATAATTCATAAAATGTTAATTAATGATTACTTATAAATTTTCAATATTTTTTATGTTCGTACGTGTGTGATTTTTACAAGTACAAATTAACAGATGATCCAAAGATAATTATTTTTATTTTTATTTTATTTTTTTTTATTTTTAGTTTTACATAAACATATTATTGCAACATGATACATTGCTGGATACAATATCCGCACAATGAGACTTGAAGAACATCTCTCCATGCTGGAGGAGGAACTGAACAAGATCAAGTGGGACGTCATCGGTTTGAGTGAGACCAGACTGAAGAGCGAAACGGTCACCACCTTGAAATCTGGACATGTCCTGTTCCAGAAAAACTCAGATGTGAATGCACACGTTGGCGGCGTGGCTCTACTGGTAAATAAAAAGATCAAACACCTCGTGACCAAGACCAGAGCGATATCGGCGAGGATACTCTACCTTGTGATGAAACTGAACAGCAAGTGCAATATTCAGGTAATACAGGCATATGCACCCACGTCAGCCTCTACGGACGAAGAACATGAAAAATTCTTAGAAGACCTGACAACAGCAAAGAGTGCCGAAAAAACGAGATTCACTATAATGACGGGCGACTTCAACTCAAAAATTGGACAGAAGACCCAAACGGATTCTCCGTACATCGGCACTTTCGGTTTGAAGGAACGAAACCAGCGTGGGCAAGAAATGATGAACTTCCTCAGCAAAGAAAAAATCTACTGCATGAATACCTTCTTCAAAAAACATCCTAAGAGAAAATGGACATGGAAAAGCCCAGACAACAGCACCAAAAATGAAATTGATTACGTTCTGGTCACTGATAAACGCATTTGTGTTGATGTGTCAGTCTTGAACCGCTTTGACACTGGCAGCGACCACAGACTGGTGCGGGCCAAGATACAAGTAAACACTCGCCTAGAGCGAAAAAGGTTAATGGAGAAGAAAATACGACCAACTATGGCTGAGCTAAAGGGGAAGGAAGAAGAGTATAACACTTACATCAAGAAAAAGTTTTGTCCAGTCGAGGATCTGAAAGGATTGCCGCTCAGGGAGCTGACAAGTAAGATCACGAGCAGCATCCGAACTGCCGTGAAACAAGTATGTTCACTTTGCCCACGGAGAAACCCAAAAATCAGCCCGGACACTGAGAGACTTATTGAAGAGAAATCAACTAAGCCATTGCAGACAACGTTAACATGAAAGTCTTGCGTTCCAATATGTCAAGGGGAAAGCTGGTAATCCACAGGATGAAGAATGAGGTCGGCGAAGTGGTCACCGATAAGGGCCAAGTCGCAGCAGTTATTGAAGATTTCTATCGTGGGCTATACAGCCCAGTCCAACAATATCAACGGGCTGAACCAAGACGAAGTGTCCAGAATGTAGGGTCCGAGGAGCTGCAGCAAATTGTCGGACCGGAATTAAGAGAAGCCCTGAGACAAACGAAGAACTGCAAGGCGCCAGGAGAGGACCTCGTTACGAGCGAAATGTTGAAAGCGGGAGGAGAGATTCTGGAGAAGGCACTTCTGATTTTGCTCAACAAATGTCTCGACGAAGGGAAAATTCCGGACTCATGGCAGAACGCAGAGGTCATTCTGCTCTTCAAGAAAGGCGACTGCACAAATATGGAAAATTACAGACCAATCAGTCTACTCTCAATATTCTATAAGCTGTTGACCAAAATCATTACAAATCGCCTTAGCCAGAGACTCGACTTCTACCAACTAGTCGAGCAAGCAGGCTTTAGAAAAGGTTACAGCACGACCGACCATATTTAAGCGGTACGCACACTAATTGAAAAGTGCACGGAATACAACGTGCCACTGCACCTAGCTTTCGTGGACTACCAGAAAGCCTTCGATTCCATAGAGACCTGGGCAGTGTTGAGAGCGATGGATAACGCACGCATTGACTCCAGATACTCCAACTTAATCAAGCATATCTACGAACACGCCACGCTGCATGTCAAGATGGAGGAAGATTGGGTCACGGGGAAGGTACCGGTCGGGAGGGGTGTTAGACAAGGGGACACCATCTTGCCTAAGCTGTTCATCCTAGCCTTAGAGGACATCTTCAAGAACCTGAAATGGGAGCAAAAGGGCATCAACATAGATGGGAAGCGCTTGAACCACCTACGATTTGCAGATGACATCATCCTCATAAGTAGCGGCGCCGTGGAACTCGAGAGCATGCTCCAGGAACTGAAGGAGGCCTCACAAGCTGTTGGTCTAAAAATGAATCTCCAGAAGACCAAGATCATGAGTCCGAAGAACATGGTTGTCACTATTGACAATCATACTCTAGAAATAGTCGAAGAATACGTATATCTGGGACACAACATCAAGCTTGGAAAAGAAAACCAAACAGCCGAGATCACCAGGCGAATAGGCTTAACTTGGGCAGCGTTCGGGAAACTCAGCTACATCCTGAGGAACCCTAGAGTCCCCACAAACCTCAAGAGAAAGGTTCACGACACCTGCATCCTACCGGTGACGACATACGGCCTCGAAACTGCTACCCTTACAGTGAGCAGCGCAAATCGTCTCCGAGTCTGCCAAAGAGCCATCGAGCGAGCCATGTTGGGGATCAGCTTGAGGGATATACCAAACAAAGAGATCAGAAGGAGAAGAAGAATCACAGATGTGGTGGAGCGAGTGGCGAGGCTGAAGTGGCAGTGGGCAGGCCACGTCGCAAGAGATAACATCAAATGGACGAAAACACTGATGCAGTGGAGGCCTAGAGAATCCAGAAGAAGCGTTGGCCGACCACAACTAAGATGGCGAGATGACATCCAGCGCCATGCGGGCAAAAACTGGATCCAGACCGCTCAGGAAAGGACGACTTGGAAGGAGAAGGAAGAGGTCTATGTTCAGGAGTGGACGTTTACAGGCTGAAGAAGAAGAAGAAAATTATTGCAACGTATGTTACTATGTATACGATATTACGATTATATATGTGTATGTATAAGCGTGATATATCTTACAAAAATATATTAAGTTTCTTTAAAATATAAGGACATGCTATTACTATACTTTTCTTATTACATATATTACAGAGTTAAACACAAACAAACACAAATTTATGTAAAAATAAATGTAATAAAAAATAAGACGTAATAAACGTCATAAATTTAGAAAATTATCACGATAATTGACATAGTAGATTTCTTTTTTCTTCACCTTCAATTCTATTATCATCTCGATTAATTCCTTCAAAATCTGGAATGTTTACAATGTCTACTTCTTCTTCCATGAAATCATTAAAATTATCTCCATTATGAATACATAGATTATGAAGTGTACAACAAGCTATAATAAATTTACAGCTACGTTGAACTGTATTAAAATCTAATCTAATTAACTGTCTAAATCTTGTTTTTAGTAAACCAAAAGCATTTTTTATTTTCACTCTACAAACAGAGAACTTGTAATTAAAATTTCTTTGTTTTTCCGTCAAATTTCCATAATCTCTGTAAGGAGTAATGAGAAACTTTTTAAGGGGATAGGTAGCATCGCCTAATATATGCCACTCATCTCCACATGTTTGTGGCAATATGATGCTTATAAATGATAATTTAAAGATACGTGCATCGTGCACTTTACTAGGTGGTCCTGTAAAAACATCGAGGAACATCTTATCTGCATCATATTGCTTGTAATGTTAAAGATGGCATATCACGTCGATTCACATATGTTGACTTGATTTTATGAGCAGGTGTACGTATCGTAATATATGTATACATCCATCTATACATCCAAGAATTCCAGGGAAACCATTTATCTATAAATAAAAAAAAATTAAATAAATATATCCCAGTAAATAAGAAATATTAGATCAACATTATAAATATTGATAAAATTGGTAAAATTGATAAAATTGCTAAAATATTGATAAAATATTGATTTTATATGCATCTTTTGAACGTTCTCACATAATACTTTATACATGTTTTTAAAATTTATTAGTTATTATTATTTAAAATATTGTAAATGTTAAATATTTCATAATATATTTCCGAATATTTCAAAAATGTTTCAGAAATATTATTCCAAATATTTTTAAAATGTTACTTTAACTAAATGTTTACTATGACGTTGTATATAACATTAAGAAAACTACATATTTGGAAACATTTTACATGTTGTCAAATATTATTGCAACAACATTGTATCAATTTTTTGCTTACTAGGATATATACAGGGTGTTCCAGGAGGAAAGGTCAATATTCTGGGAGGTAATCGTATCGGTCATTTTAAGCAAAAATGTTCATATGAATATATGTTCTATTCCCCACAGTTTCCGAGATAGAGCGACTTGAATATACGTCTCGTGTATTAGTTCATCATCGCTACTACTCGTTTCCAATAATTCTAGAGCGAATATTTTTTGGTCCATTTTTAATTTTGGTTATTCGGTTATTTTGCGGTTATTCACCAAACTGCACTGCCAAAAATTTCAGTGCAATAAAATTTGTTCTTATTCAGTTTATTTTGTTTGTCCGAATACGAATTTAGAGTGCTAAATCGGATGCAGTGGCATCAGGTCAGTTTTTGTTCATCGAATACGATACAAAACTCGCATGATAATAGTGCAACGCAACCGAATATGATGATTTCACTCCACTGGGGCAGAGGGCATCACTCGAATATGTGGCACTGAAAAAGTTTGCATTCAGTGCGTACTAATGCAAGGTACCGAATTCTCTATGAGTTTATGAGATAATTTTACCCTATACCTTATGCATGGGAGAAATAGCATCTATATCTTCAAAGATCTTTCTGCGAGATAATTGACATTTGTAGGAAAAAGAAATTCTCATACCCTTCGTTAATACATTTTTTAGTTTTATTTATATATTATAATTTTAGCTTTATTTATATATTTATAAAAACAAATTCTTATACCCTTCGTTAATCCATTTTGAGTTTTGTTTATCAATCGACGAGTCCACATGGCTTCAAAGTATTACCATCAAAGTAGTGAGGTATGAATGCGAACTTTTGTACATGTGTAGGATGGCTGCAACATATTGACCTAGCAAAACACAAAAGTCCGAATAATTCAAACAAAGCTCATTGTAAAATTTGCGACAGATCATTGAGGAGTCATCTTGCGTATCTTCAAAAGCATGCACGCTCGAAAAAAACACCAAGAGAAAGATGGCGTTAATAGTAATAGATATTATAAGGCAAATGAGAAGTATCGGTGGTGTGGGGTCTGAATAGCTCAGAGGTAAGAGCAGTCGCCCGGCAAGCGAAAGACTCGGGTTCGATTCCCGATTCAGCGACTTCGCCCCGATATTTTTCTCGCCTTCGTCTCTCCAGGGGGGTAAAGAGGGATTATTATAAATCTCGAATTGAGATTAATTTTTAAAAAATCTTGGTATACACCAAGTAAATTTCGTGCCCTGTGCACATATTCAGTTTCATAGAAAACTTATTTTTCTATGAAACTGACGCACTGCCATCCGCGTTCTGGCTCTTACTAGCCCGCGATTATTTGAATTTGTGAGTTCACTCGAGAGCCTAATTTCTTAAATTTGTTATTCTTCATATCATTTTAAATATATAATTTTTTAATCAAGAATTTAAATCATTCATTTTTTTTATTAATTAAAGGATATCAGGCTCCAATAAATGTCGAGAAAAAAATCGCACAGATAAAACTGGCATTGTACATAACGATGCATTCGTCTATTTGCTCGATGAATCATCTAGGCGAGGTTCTATCAACCTTAGGCGAAATGCTCAAATTTGATAGAGTACGTGATTGCTCCCGTCTTTTTAAACAGTTTGATCAAAGCCATTGGAAACAAAGGATACTCGATTATTATCGATGAAAACACTGATGTCTCAGTTACAAAGTTCCTGTGCATGTGCGTTAAATACTTTGATACTACCGAAAACCGCATACTCATTGATTTTTTGGGTTTACTGGAAATAGAGCGAGCAACGGCCAATGATTTATACAAGAGTATTGTTGAATATTTACGACAAATTGGAATCCCGTTGAAAAATCTGATAGCCATAGGCACAGATGGAGCAAATAACCTTTGTGGGCGCAATCACTCAGTTTATACACTATTAAAAGGTGATATACCAAACTTGCAACTCGTGAGATGTACATGTCACTCGCTGCATCTCTGTGCGTCGAAAGCGAGTGAAGAACTTCCAAGTTCCTTAGATTTTCTAACGAGAGAAGTATTTAACTGGTTTAGCGTCAGTCCGTTACACAGGCTAAATTATAAGAAAACATTCGATTTAATCAACACGGGTAATGATGCTCAGAAATATAGACAGATAATTCAACTTTCGCGAACGAGATGGTTTGCATTTCACGATGTTGTGAAACGATTACTGGAGCAGTGGGTGGAATTAAAAACCCATTTTCGTATAGCTTGCGATGCTGAGAAGTGCTATACTGCACGAATGATTCGCGATATGCTTGAGGATGATTGCAATATGAATGGCTAAAAGCTGCAAATTCTGCTCGGTTTCTGCTGCCAATTTGCCGTCAGATCGCGCGCGCGCAGATCTTGCTCGGTTTCTGCCGACAATCTGACGTCAAGTCAAGTTAGCAGATCCTGCTCGTTTTGATGCTGTCAGATTCTGTGAGCATACTCTGCTTTGTTTTTGGCACCAATCTGTCGATTTAATCTGTAATAACAACTTCTATATCAAATTTGTATCCTTTTTGCTAACAATAGTTGATAGCGGGCACTTGGCATGATCTGCTTTCGACAGACTTGGCTATCTGGGTTACCTCTTGCCGAAATGTATTCTCCTAATAATTTTGATGATTTTCGAGACACATTATTGCGTATAAAATACATTGCTGGCAATATTTGCCAGCGAATATCAGGTGGATTTGATTATAAATTCAAAGCAGTAAACAAATAAAACGAACCGACTCGACAAATTACTTGCACAGGATGTCTACTCAAATTTTGTAAAAAAATTTCCTGAACTTCCAGGTATTTTTATTCAAAATTCCAGGTAAAGAAAATATTTTAAAGATTTTTAATGCAATTTCTTAAAATAAATTTTTTTTTATTGTACGCGTTTTCTAATGTTTTTCACTCATACGAAGGAAAAATACAAAGCTACTTAAGTTTCAAGTGCTAGATTTACAAATGTACTAAAAAAAAAAAACTAAATAGCTTTCGTTAATGGTAAGATAAAAATGTTCAATTTATATATAATACATTCTTCTCAACTAAAAATTAAAATAAAGAATATGTACTGCATATATTCAATA